CCTAAACACACCTGCAAACACACCTCAATGTGCGTGTGTGACACCCAAAATACTACTGGATAAGAAGTCAGTTTTACTACCCTCCAGCAGTTATTTTAAAAATTAAAATAGGATGCTAAGGCGACCTCTATCTGATCCAGGGCGGTCAGTCCCTCTCCACCATTGATTGCTTAAATGTATTCCTCACCCTTCAAGGACAATCACAGGAGAAGGAAGTCAAATGCAAGGTTTCCCAGCAGTTAGGGGGAAATATTGACACCAAGCTCCTTTCTCCTCAAATGACAGCAGGGGCTGTGGGAGACAGGGGGCGGGGTCTTGGAAACAGTGGGGGGGCCCACAGACTAATCAGAAAAGAGAAGAGCGCTTAGAAGATTTTAGAGTGAAATAAAGAAATTCATGTTGCCTTAAATATAATTTGTGTTAGTTACATTTCAGTTCCTAATTTATACATAGCAGGGTTGATAAAGAATTACATTATAACAAAATTAGCCGGAATAATTAGCATAGCGTATGTGCCACTGATTAAGCACCCAGCAGATAGCTTGGTAATTAAGATCGGTGGGTGCCCTGTTCCCGGGCTTTGTCTTCTTATTATCCGTCTAACAAGGGCTTTGTCTCTACCTCCCTTCTGATTTGAAGTTCAATAGCAGTCACTAATAATTCTCCTTTTATTCTTTTTAAATTACTTTACTCCAAACCCACCGTTTTCCTCCAGTCACTAGCCGCCCTTCCCGGGTTTTGTGCAGCCGTGAGGTGCTTGAAGCTGGAAAACACCGGTGCTTCAAAGTTCAAGTTCAAAAGTCTTTTTCAAGACCTATTATTCTTTAGCCCAAGAAGAAGTCCAGGCCAATTCCATGCTCTGCAATTCAGTCGAGCATCCAAACCGACAGTGGAGACCTGTTGAGTTCATGGCTCCTGTCTGGTGAAGGTCATCACCAGGGATTCCCAGGTGGTCTCCGTCAGGGTCTGTGTTCACTCACCAAGTACTGAGTGATGGACACCCAGCTGGCCCCTGCTGCTTGCTGGTTGGGGTTATCTGTCCCTCAATACTGTTGCTTCTCCAATTGAGTCTGCTGTCTTCACAACATACTTTGGGGTGTAATAATGGAAGAGGGACCTAATAGTCCCAAAGAATGGAAGGATTAGGGAAACAACTTACATTCTTTGTCATGATGGAGTCATTTATCCTGTATCGCTAAGACTGAAATCAGGAAGAGGAAAAAGCCTTGGCAATGCCATTAGTTGCAAGTAATAAAAGCACAACTACATAAGCTAGGGAGCTCTGGTAGCCCTAGTGGCAAGAAGCTGACTGCAATCCTGAAGGCACATGGTTCAAGTCTACCAGCCACTCTGAGGGAGAAGAATGGGAAATCTCCTCCTGTGTGATTAGTTGTTTCGTAAACCTGGTGGAGTGTCAGCTGTGGGTCAGTCCAACTCTCTGATCCACAAAAACACACATGCTTAAGGAATAAAGACATGAAGTCTGGGGGTTGGTACTCAGAGCCGGAGCTAAGTTCAGAAATGCTGTCAAGGAACCAGTCTCTTCCTCTCTCTGGTTCCCTCTTCTTAGTGAGTTGATACCCCATCATGATGCTACCTCATGGGTGCCACATGGCTGCCACCACTCCAGATATCACACCCATGTCCCAGGAGAAAAGAAGAGGGAGGTTCTAACCACTGTTGGTAACTTTCCAGAATCAACAAAACAAACCACTCGGCACTCCTCGGCCAGAACTGGACTGTAAGACCTCCAAGCCTTGCAAGCACAGCTGGGACATCAACAACTGGTGAAGGAGACCAGGAGGGACTCAACTCGACATGATTCATAGCCAGGCCCTACTGGGTGAAAGAGAGTGGACATAGGTAAAAAATTGCCTTTGTGCATGTAACTGTGCCCTCCTGAAATATATGTGTTGACAATTCTAACTCCTGTGTAACTCGTCACTGTTATGTGAATGAGACAAGATCAGCAGGATAGTGTATCTTCATTCAGTTTGATCTGAACAAAGAAGCAGATAGGAGAAGCCAGGTGCCATGCCCCCCGCCCTCCCGGAAGCTCCCCCAGGAGGCAAAGAACAGAAGCTGAAAGGAGACCAGAACCGAAATGCTGCGCCAACAGAAAGCAAGTCCTTCCCTAGGTTTGGCACCTGGACTTCCAGCTTACTAACTGTGAGAAAATAAAGTTCTGTTTGTTACAGCCACCCCCTTGTGGTATTTGTGTTACAGAAGCACTCCGGCTAAGACGTTATCCACGCAGACCACCTAATCCCAAACACGTCAAATGTAGAGCCAAGCATATTGGCAGCATTTGTGTGGGGACTTGTCAAGAGGTGCCACCAAGTTGACTACCACCCACAGCCCTGTGAACAACGGATCTGAACCTTGCTCTATCCTGTGCTGTCCTCATCATCTCTGACACACTTGACCACAGTGCTGCAGTCACTGTGTCAGTCTGTCTTGTTGAGGGTCTTCCTCTCTTTCACTGACCGTCCACCTTTCCAAGCATGATGTCCCTCTCCAAATGACGTTGCTGTTGTTGTTAAGTGCCATCGAGTCACAGGCAACTCATAACGACCCTATGAAGGAGAGTCCTCAACGCTTGGTTGCCTTTCATCCTCTCTCCAGGTTCATAGGGTTTCCGGAGGCAAGCTATTATGGAAGTGGATGCCATTCCTCCTTCCAAGCTTGTTTTAATTGGGGAGCTCCACCCCACTCTCTGTCCGCATTGGGCAGCCAACCATTAACACATTTGACACATCAGTGTCATGGTGTTCAGCCTCACAGCAAGCACATGTGACCGTGGTACGGCAACTCTCCAAGTAATAGACTCACCTAATAATATGCATAAAGTATATGAGGGGAAGTTTCACTATTCTCGCCACCAAAGAACATCCTAGCTGCACCTTTTCCAAGATATGTGCGTTTGTCCAAGCCATACTCTAATAGCACAACTCAGAGGCATCCATTCTTCTGCCATCCTTGTTTCTGATCCAACTTCCAGATGCTTAGCAAGTAATTGGAAAGATCATAGTTTGGATCAGGTGCACCTTAGTCTTCAAACTGACATCTTTGCTCTTTAGCACTTTGGAGAAGTCCCTGACAGCAGACTTTCCTGATTTATTCTTGCAGGAGCCAAGAAGAAGACTAGAGGAGAGAGAAAGCTTTCCCCTGGAGATGGAGCCCTGAATTTGATCTCTTAGCCTCCTAAACTGTGTGAGAATAAATTTCTGTTTGTTAAAGCCACCCTACATGGTATTTCTGTTATAGCAGCACTTGGAGGCTAAGACACTACCCTGCCAACCACCAGACACATCAAAGGCAGAGCCACGTGTGGGAGAAAGCCTGGAGCAGAACCTGCAAGTCCTTGCAGGAGCTGAGAGGAGGAGAGAGAAAGCCAAAAGGTGACAAGAAGGGATGCAAGAAGGAGAAGGCCACAGACAGCTGCCTCCCTCGGCAGACCCTCCTATCATCACCCAGTGTGTGCAGTCAGCAGTGACGCCATTCAAGACACTAAGTCTTGTGTACAAGTGGGACACTGTGGGAACAGCATTAAACCCAGCCCTGGAGCAGCAGTGAGCTGAGAGACTAGGGTGCCCACCCTGGGAATGCAGGAGCAAGCTGGAGGGGCTCTGCACTCCCGAGGGGTCTGTGATTACATGCAGGAGCTCTGTTTGCCAGCCTCGGGAATTCTAGCTCCACCCCATCTCTTCTTTATCTGAAGCTCTTGTCTTCTGGAGGCCCGCCAGAATTTGAAACCACAGATGCTCTTCCATTCATGCAACCTGTCCAGCTTCACTCTGTCCAAATCTAGGTGACCAGACTCCCATCTAGATGAAATGGAAGGGGTGTATGTGTGTGTGTGTGTATGTGTGTGTAGCTGGCCAGTTGTCCTTTTCAACCAACAGCAGCACGACCCCAGTACGGGTGAAGAGTTCTTTTAAAGTTCCAGGACAATTGTCACTTTGAATACATGTTGTTGTTGTGTGCTGAGTCAGAACCAGTCCATAGCAGACCCTCCAGCAGGTTTTCAGAGGCTGTGATTTGCAGAGGGGAGTCTCCATCTTTCTCTCACAGAGCAGTCGATAGATTCAAACTGCCTGCCTTTGAGTCAACAGCACATTCCTTATCAACTAGGCCACCAGAGCTTCTTGGGTTAAAAGACATTATTTACGCACACACATGTTTATCGTGGCTTTGTTAAAAATAGCAAGAAGTTGGAAACAACCTAAGTGCCCATCAACAAATGAATGGATAGAGAAGCTGTGGTATATTCACACAATGGAATAATATGCTGCATTGAAAAACAAGAAACTCATGAAATATTATTCAAAATGGGTGACTCTGGAGGACATTATGCTGAGTGAAGTATTTCAGTCACCAAAGGACAATTACTGCATGTTGCCACTGTTGTAAAACAGGACTGACCTCGGGGTTGGGGGGAGACTGAGAAAGATGGGTTCAATAATGTATACTGCATTGAAACAGATAAGGGAGAAAACTATTTAAAAGGGATATGTGATTAGGAATTTTTGTCATGACAGGAGTCCAGAGTGAAGGCTGCATAATGGAGTGGACCTGGGGGAAGGGATTGTAAAACAATGAAAGAATTTTTCATTTACTTTTCCAAGAGGGTGGTGTACTGGGGTGGGGGGAGGGTTGGGAGGGGAGAAAACTGCAACAATGAATGAATGGAAATCCAAAGTCTCTGTAAATTTTCATTGAAATTAATAATAAAAAAATTTTAATTTTTTTAAAAAAGACATTATGTAATAAGCCCTGCAAGAGTTGCCTGTAAAGCGCGGTCCCTTCCCTGTCCACATTGGCAGCCAATCCCCGCCCGCTCTTGAACAGCTCCGTGGAAAGATAAGGAGGCCTGAGTCAGCTCCCCGTGTCTGCCACCGTCTTCTATTTATAGCAAACACCCCACGTCCCCTCCTCTGGGCACCACCTGACTCAGACAGGGTTGACTGAAGTGAGACCAGCGCACAGACCACGCAGCAATGTCCAACTCGGATTACCTCCCGGACTACCCGCTCAACTCGGACTTTGTAAAGAGATTAAAGGCGGCGCTGGACACTGGGGACGAGGGCAGAGTGGCCAGCTTGATCTGCTCTGAGGTCCAACACGTGGATGCCGTTATAGAGCTGTCCAATGACGACTGGATGAAGGACCCTGCTGCCCAGCTGCCCACTGGTGTGCTGACAGGTAACCGGAGTGCATTGCTCCCAAAACTAAATTCCCATCACGAGGGCTGATTGTGCACTTTTGTTCATGGGGTGGGTTGTGCCTGGAGGTAGAGGGTATCGGAGGAGGAGTCCAAGGCTATGTGCTTGGACGTCTGATTCAGGCGTGTGTATTCACATCTGTGGGGCTGTTGTGACGAGTTGTTGTGCCCTTAATGTTAACTCATGCATTGTGCCTACCCGTCCATGCCAAGCAGAACTGCCCAGCGGGTTTCCAAGGCTCTGACCTTTCAGAAGCCCACAGCTGGCCTTTCCTCAGAGTGGACTCAGTGGTTTCACACTGCCAACCTTTTGGCTAGCTGTTGTTGTTATTGTTGTTGTTCTTGTTAGGTGCCGTCGAGTCGGAGATGACTCATAGCGACCCTGTGAACAAAAGACCTGAACACTTGTATAGCTTTCATCATTTTTCCCAAGTTCATAGGGTTTTCGGAAGCGAGCTATTTCAGAAGTGGATGCCACTCCTGCTCCCAAGCTCGTTTTAACCAGGGGCTCCACCAAACACTGTCCACCATGGGGAACCATTATCGCATTTGACACATCAGTGTCACAGTGTTCAGCTTCAGAGCAACCACGAGTTACCTCTGTACAGCAAGTGCACAGACCAGTATTACGCTACTTAGAAGAATGTTTGAACAAAAACAATTAAAACCAGGCCTCAGGGCCGCAGATTAAAATCACCCACCTTTGACTTGGTAGCATCACTTTCCATCCACCTAGTAATTAAGCATTTAACAATCGGTGCCACTCAGGAGCTCCTGCCACATAATAAATGTGTAACGTATGTTGTAGTTGTCAGGTGTCCCTGATCCCACTATGATTCACAGAGACCCTAGGGTGACAGAGAGAAGCCGCGTCCCATCCAGCACTGCCGTCGTGGTCCCTGCCATGCTCAAGCCCATTGGTCACCACCGTGTCAGTCCATTCTGTTGAGGGGCTGCCTCTCTTTCTCTGACCCTGTACTTTTCAAGCACAATGTCCTTCCCCAAGGACTGGCCCTCCTGACGTGTGTGTATGTGTGTGTGAGAGAGAGACAGCCTGTGCGGGGGTGTGTGTGAGAGAGCCTGTGCACGGTGTGCGTGTGTGTGTGTGTGTGTGTGTCTGTCTGTCTGTCTGTACAGGAGCTTACACACGGCCAGGCAGGCTGCCCTCCCTTGCACGCCAGGTCACTGGGAGTTGGAACCTCAATGACGTTGTGTTTGAATGAGTTGGCTTTTAACGTATCATTATGTGTATATGGGACCAGGTAGACAGAGGCACTATGAGTTGGAGTTGATTTGACAGCACCTGAAAACAGCAATAAAGCCTCAGCGGTGTGGTGGTTAAAACACTTACCTGCCAACTGAAAGCTTGGAGGTTCGAACCCACCAGCTGCTCTGTATGAGCAAGAAGTGACAGCAGCTTCTGAGCTCCCAGTCCCACGAGCTGTGGGGCAGTGCTCCGCCCTGCAGGACTCAACTAGAACAGACTCAAGGGCTATGTGGATACGTAACACATTTATATTCGTACATTTATACACATAGGGAGCTGCACTGTAATCCTGAAGGCATGCAGTTCGAATCCACCAGCTGCTCTACGGGAGAAAGATGGCCAGTCTCCTCCCATGAGATTTAATTGCCTCTCAGAATCCATTGCAGAGTCTACTACGGGTTGGTTCTCACTATGGTAAACAACAACAACATATATGCATGTGTAAGGAGCCCTGGCGCAGGTTGTTGTTGTTGTTGTTGTTGTTGTTGTTGTTAGGTGCTGTCGAGTTGGAGACGACTCGTAACGACCCTATGAATAAAAGGCCTGAGCACTGTTCATAGAGTTTCTGGAGGCAAGCTATTTCGGAAGTGGATGCCACTCCTGCTTCCACGCTTGTTTTAACCGGGGAGCTCCACCAAACACTGTCCACCATGGGTGACCATTATCACATTTGACACATCAGTGTCCCAGTGTTCAGCATCACAGCAACGAGTTACCTCTGTACAGCAAATGCACAGACCAGGGCTATACCACCTAGAAGAATGTTTGACAGAAAAACCAATTTGAAGCAGGCCTAAGAAAGTGAGTGTGGGCTTTGCAGGTGTGGTTGCTGTGATGCTAAACCCTGGTGCATAGTGGGAAACACATTGCTAACGGAATGGTCAGCAGTTCGACTCCATCAGTAGCTCCACAGCAGAATGACGGGCCAGCTCCTCCTGGACAGGTTACGGGCTTGGAGACCCAGTGGAGGGTGGTTGTGAGCAGCACCGAGGTGGCAGCTGGGTGTGTGTGTGTGTGCGTGTGTGCACGTGTGCACGCGCCCGTGTAAGCATAGACGCACATATACAAACACACCCACAGGTTGTGTGTACATATGTCTGAGTCACACAAGCAGACACTGGCGCAAGGCAGACCGTTTAACCACCAACAAAAGAGTTGGTGCAGCACGGAGTCTTGGTGGCCTAGTGGCAAGAAGCCGCACTGCAATCCTAGAGGTATGTGTTTCAAATCCACCAGATGCTCTGCTGGAGGAGAGGCAGTCTCCTCCTGTACCAGTCGGATCCGATTTGATGGTACACACACAAAATAAAAATTTACAAAGAGTCCCACAGCACCTCTCTCACCCTGCTGCTCCGTTCCTCCCTGTCTGCACGTGGGTGTATCCTTTACTGACAACCATGGAGACTTTCAGTCCCGCTCTTTTAAGTACAGTTCTGCCCATACTGCTCCGAGCCTTGATTTCAATGCTCCAGTGAGGTGATTCATATTAAAGAACAAACGCACGCTCTTGAGGAACAAGGATGGTGAGAGCTGTCTCAGGGACACAGGCAGGCTGTTGTCAGGAGGGGTCTGTCCTGGGAGAAGGGCAGGGGTGAGAGTGAGGGTCAGATGAAAGAAGGAAGACATCACGGAGGGAACACAGCCACTTCAAGGAGGAGCACAGGCCAGCAGACATGAGGACAGCACAGGACGGGCCAGGCCGACTGCTGCCGCGGCGTCACTATGCCGACCGCCTCCAGGCCCCAACAACGATAATGATGGTGGCTGACCCTAAAGTATTCACAGGGAGAACCAGCAAAAGGAAACGGCTGCTTTCACTTGGGTGGTTACAAACAAGCTGTAATCAAAATCTTCATCAGCCTTCGGAGGACAGCTTCCTCGTGTGGAGTTGAATCTTTAGGATCAATTCTAGGACCAGTCTTGATGAAACAAAAGTTCTGTGTTCTCTTGTAGGCTAATATCATTCCGTTCTCCAAGATGACTTGTTCTCTTGGAGGCTGATATCACGCTGTTCTCCAAGATGACGTCTAGATGACAGTGGATGAGTGGGTGCTTCAATCCCAGCAGCCTCCCGGCTGTAAACGTGAACCCCCAGCCCTCCAGCAGCCAGCCCGTCTTCCCTGCCCAGCACACCCTGTTCTCCTGAAGCTTTGTTTTCAGCCAGGAGACTCTTCAAAAGGGGCTTCTCCATCTGAGTCTTTGAGCAAAAAAATCCTCCATTTCTTCTTACCTTCACTTTTCTTTGTAAAACACCTTAACAAGGCTCAGAGCCAATCTGTCTCCTGAAAGGTTTCAAATTGAAGACAAGAACCTGGCCAAGGTAGAGGAAGAATTCTCAGGGTTTATTGTGTGCTGGGCTACTCAGCAAAAGGGGGGCGGGGGGACTTAGGGAGTTTATATGGGGTTTTAGCAAGTGTGTTTTAGGGGGTTGTGAGATGAGTTGATGTTGCAGTAGCTCATTGGTGCATCAAGTTTCTGGGTTTGGAAAAGGTCCTAATATGGGAATTTCTGAGTTTTGGTTCTGGAAAATATCCTGACATAGGATTTCTGAATTCTGGTTTCAGAAATATGTCCTGACATCGGGTTTTCTAAGTTCTGGTTTTGGAGACTGTCTTGTCATGGGATTTTCTGAGTTTTGGTTTTGGTAAATATCCTGACATAGGATTTTTGAGTTGAGATTCAACATTCATTATTTTTAGCTTAATATCTCCCATCTGCTTAAACTATTTTCCCTGGCCTTTCAATGCCTTTTCATTCCGTCTGGTGTTTTCTTATCTGAGCCCAGTTATCTTATCTTTGCCTTCTGCAGGGTAGACTTGGTGGCCTGCAGACACCAACACCATCTTTGAGCAAGGCCTTGGTGGTCCAGGTTTTTGTCTCTCCCAGCAGCATGCATCTCTGAACAAGAGTAATTTGGATGTAAATGTACATGTGACGTTATTTCTGCATTGGGGGTGGAGCTTGTGGTAATAGGCTTGAGATGCCGTCTGCATGCTGGAGAGCTCAGCTGTCCTGGTTATGGTGGTAGCATTCCTGAGAGTGCCTTGGTTAAAGCACCCCGCTGCCAATCCAAACGACCAGCAGGCTGACCCACCAGCCACTCCACAGGCGAAGGCTGAAGCCGCCTGCTTCCCTGAAGAGTTCCAGCCTCAGGGTTCCTGGAAGGCATTTCTCCTCTGCCCTGCAGGGTCACTGTGACTTGGGATTAGCATGATGGCGGTGGATGTTGGTTTGGAGTCTCTGAATCCATGGTGTGACTCCGGTATGCGTGGTGGGCCCCTAAACCAGACCTGACCATCGACTCAAACGAAATGGCACGCAGTGTCCTCTTGGTAGTTCACACGATCAGAGTGGGAGCTGGCCGTGCCAGAAAGACTGACCACGTGGCTTCAGGGCTGGGGCTTTGACAAGCGGAATCAGTTTGACCTCCGGGGAGCAGAGGAGGCTGGGAATTGGGCTCATTCACTTGGTTAATGGTCCTATCAGACCTCTGGACACCACAGCTTCCCCATTGGTGGCACCTGCCTCGACAGGAAAAGAATCCCCTGAAAGCCACCTGTGAGTGTGGGAAGGACATGAATTCAGATTCATGAGTCCACTTCAGATGACCGGAGAGAAGCTGGACCCTGCACAGGGTTAGACCCTCTGTAAAGCCACCCTTGTCCCCCCGACTGTAGCTCTGCCTCTCCTTCCCCCAGATCACAACCCCGCAGT